GGAGCGTACATTACTCAGAATGAGTGGCACCCATCGTTGTGGTGAAGGAGGGAAACGGCAAGATACGTATTTGTGCTGACCTTTCAACCGGCTTAAATTCCATGTTGGAGAATCACCAGTATCCTTTGCCTATACCTGAAGATTGGTTCACCAATCTTAACGGTGGGAAATGGTTTGCGAAACTCGATCTAGCTGATGCTTACTTACAACTTCCTGTAGCCTAGAATTGCAGAACACTACTAACGGTCAACACGCATCTGGGTCTTTTCCAGTACAATCGGTTGCCATTCGGAGTGAAAACCGCTCCCGCCATTTTTCAACCAATCATGGATACGATGCTGAGCGATATCCTTGGGATCGCAGTGTACCTAGATGACGCATTGCTTCTGGGGTCTGATCCACAAAGTTTGCTGGCCACGTCAGAGAAAGTGCTCTCACGTTTACAAGAAGCTAGCTTTCGTTAATGAGTGAAAAATATAGTTTCCTGATGGAGGTTATCAAGTTCCTCGGATTCATCGTTGACCAACATGGCCGACGTCCGGATCCCGCTAATCTAGAAGCCGTCAAGCAGGTGCCACCACCATAAGATGCTGTCTAATATCGTTCTTTTCTCGGTCATGTAAGTCATTATAGTGCCGTCTATATCAGACGAGAGGTCCTCTGAACGAGTTGCTGATGAAAGAGAAAGTATGGCGATGGACAAAGGAGTGCCAACAAAGCTTTGATACAGTTAAGGCAGCGCTGGATTCTGATTTACTATTGACCCACTTCAACCCAAACTTGGAGATTGTTGTTAATTCTGACGCTTCCGGCTATGGGCTAGGTGCTGTCATTTCTCACTTGTTACCAGGAGGAGAAGAGAAGGCCATTGCGCATGCAGCACGGTCGCTGACAGTGGCGGAGAAAAATTACAACCAGAGTGAGAAAGAAGCGCTGGCAATTGTTTTCGCAGTGATACGGTTTCACAAGATGCTATATGCTAGCCACTTCAAACTGATCACGGACCACCAACTTTTACTCTCGATATTTGGATCGAAGTAGGGCATTCGTGTTTTCACAGCAAGTCGGTTACAGAGATAGGCAACCGTACTGCTGGCTTACGATTTTAGTATACAATATCGATCTGCGCAAAAGTCGGCCAAGCTGAGGCCCTATCTCTCCTCATCAGTTCCCACTCGAAGGAAAACGATGACTGCGTGATCGCATCTGTCAAATTCGAGTCGGAAGTTTAGCGTATCCTGGTTGACAGTGTAAGGGAGTTGCCAGTAACTTCGGACACGATTCGTGCAGAGAAGGCTCAAATGGAGATTTTGCTGAAAGTGATAGGGTTTGTGCATTCCAGTTGGCATAATGTCAGAATTTCGACTGAGTTACGACCTTTGTTTAACCAACGCGGATCTATTTCGGTCATTGACGACTGCCTAATGTTTGGAGAACGAGTCGTGGTACCAAGGAAGTTGCGGAAGCGAATACTACAGCAGTTTCATTCGGGACATCCAGGAACCAGCCGAATGAAGACACGGGTACGAAGTTCTGTGTATTGGCCTCAAATGGATGCAGAATTCAAACAGTTTTGCCGCACTTGTGTAACTTGTCAGCAAGCGGCAAAGGCACCTCCAAAATTCGCGTGGCAATCTTGACCTCAGTCGGAGAAGCCCTGGCAGAGAGTCCACTTGGATTAGGCGGGACCAAGCAACGGCCAATCTTGTTGATTCCTACACAAAATGGTCTGGCGTGCTTCCGATGCAAAATCCCACCACTCAGCACACTATCAATGAGCTAAACAAACTGTTCCAGTATCTTGGCACTCGGGAGATGCTGGTTACGGACAATGGAACACAGTTCACGTCAACGCCGTTTCGGGAATTTTGCATGTAAAACGGAATCCAGCACAAATCTTCGCCGCCGTACCACCCACAATCGAATGGGCAGGCCGAACGGTTTGTAGATACCTTTAAACGTGCTCTTCTCAAAGCGGAAGGAACAAGGGTGTCACGGGATGCAATTCTGCCGTTTTTGGGGATGGATCGAAACACTCCGAATCCAAACACACCGCTGGGCAAATCTCCTGCTGAATGTCTATTTGTACGAATAAAATTAGGACGACGTTTGATAGCCTGGTCTCCAGAAATGTTAGAAAACGCAACGGACAAAGGAGAGAGGAGCTGGATAAAAGGCTTCGTAGATACAAGATCAGCGACTTGGTGTACGCACGAAACTTCCACGCCCCGGGAAGATGGTCTAGCGGAACTGTTACGGGTAAGAGAGGTAAGGTTATTTATGAGATGATGGTCGGCAAAGACAAGTGGACCAGGCACGTCAATCATCTATGAACGCGACATGGAAACACTCAAAGACATCAAGAACCAGCAGCAGTACAGTGGAACATACTGATGTGGATACAATTAGTTTGGAAAACAGAACTGATCCCCAAAGCGGAACATAGCCAGTCACTCGGGCACCACAGGATTGTTATGCAGGCCAAGTCGAAGATGAAGGCAACCGCGATGGCTACAAGTGAACCCCAGGGTAAAAAGCTACGATTAATCCAAAGTGCGGAAAATAGGTGGGAGCAGTCAATTTGAAGAGGAGGTGATAGAGACGTAAGCCGATCTGAATTTGGGAATCGCGGGAGAATTGATCGGCCAGCAAATACTTGGCCGCGTCAAACGAATGGATCTATTTCGTCAATATGTTAAACCCGTGGAGCGGAACTCACTCACTCTGGCTGAAAACCAGACACAGAATAGTGAGCTACCTTGACCTCCGAAATCAGCGGGTTTCGGTTATCAATAAATAGAGTTAACTTATCCTGTATATATAATCTCTGTCTATCGAGTTCTGGCCATTTATATTACGTGACTGATCAGTCAGACAGTCGCAGTCTCATAGGGCAGCAAAGCAGCAGTACAACAGTGGTCAGTGGCAGAGAGCAGAGAGAAGAAACAAGCGTTACAACTGCAGAAAGGTCAACAAGCTTAGTGGCCTATATGTTAATGACCCTCGGCGTGCACTTTGGTCACCGAACAACGGATTAACAGCGGATATGACTTCTGAAACACATGGTATGGACAACCCAGCGTTGATGTGAATAGTCTATTCATGGAATGAACATATGTCGGAGATTCTTGCCAACACGGTTACAATGCAGCGTTGTCGGCCTACTGATTGGCTCGATTGGCGTACCTAATCAACACACCTACATTCCTACATATAAACCAACAAGCCTGGTTGTTCTCGATTGTGTCACTTCCTTCACGAGTACGGCAAAGTTCTGCCTGATGGCCCAACCCAGTGTCCACCAAGCGTTGCCTAACGTGAACGTTTCGGGGGAAACACGAAAGAGTTGACCGTAACAAATCCTTCTTCTGAGTACACTGGTTAGTTTTGGTTGAAGAAAAACATGTAAACGCAACAACAGTACGCCGGTATGGCATGCCGATGCATCGCTGCCACGTAACCACTACCAGTCGCACACGGACTGAGGATAGTGCGCGAGTCGTCCGGCTATCTACGCAGGCTCGAAGCCGCGACTTCCGGGTTGCAAGGCAAACATTGTGTTCTTTTGGCTCTGGGCCGGCGCTTAAATTAGGTGTCTACGGTTTGAGGTAATTACGGTACGAAACTAATCAGATTACTAAGCCGGATTCTCCATGGAACATTGAGTGTAAGCTCCGACAGTTTATTACTACATTCATCTATACGCGATCCCGAGGTATTGGATGTGTAGTATGAAGTGTAGTGTGTGTGTGTGTGTAGTGTAGTGTGCAAATCGCTATGTTCAACTTATTAGGATGATTGATCAACGTACCGCAACACAGCTGGTGCCTGGCCACAAGTGTTAAGTCCCCTATGGTAGCAGATATTGAAAGTGCTGTTAAAGTGTCTACTCGTCTGCCAACAAATCTTCACTTACTGGCAGCAGAGATTATGAGACCAGCGCCCCTGACGAAGCGACTAGCTTGCCTCCGATATCAGCATAGGTAGCAAAGGTCAAGTATTTACTGTCAGTGGTTTCTTCATGTTACCAGGTGTACGACTGCACTATGAGGCACATATTTGTTGGGTCTAGTGAGTCCTTTTGCATTAATTAATATTCATGCAAACCATGACGAGTCGACCATTTTGAAACAGCTGAGGTATTACTAAAGAAGTAGCGGCATGGCTATCCGGTTCCGCACGGCGCAAATGTTGCCAACTGTATTAATCGGCATGGTTTAAAAGTAGTGTAGCTAGTTGCTTCAATTAGGCTGTTCACTTGCTGTAGCAAAGAACCAATCTGGGGTTTAATTGGTACGAACTATTCCACTCCTTTGCTGGATTTTACTTTTTCAGGCTGCATGCCCATTATGGTTGGGCAATTTATTTGCTACATTCGTCTTCTGCAACAGGCCGAATGGAATTACCGACTGTCCTCAGGGTCCTTCTCAGGTATGACCTTTTTACCAATATACCCAGACACTCCGTGTTGCATATCGATCTCATTTGGAAATGATTCTCCATGGCCGTAAGGCCAAAGATGGATTTCCTCCAAAAATGCAGGTTAACCGCGTTGTTACATCTTCCATGTAGTAGTTCACACAATGAGATAACTTGATTTTCCGCCCCTTGGGGTAAACACTTAAAATTGGCCTGAACGCAAACAAAACATGCGTCTATAAATATGCCAGATTCCGCCACTTATCCAGACCTTTGTTATACCGTAGACTTGTCCCACTCGGGTCTAACTTTGCGTTTGGACCAATTTCCATCTAAGTTAGACATGTCGGAAATGTCTTCCACCAATTAATACCCTTCTAAAATAGACAGATGAGGTGTGGGTCCCTGGTATCAAGTGGTGATACAATCTCCAGAAAAAAGACATTAGTGGGACAAGAAGGTATGCCAAATTATCGAAGACAGCTTTGAAGAAACGCAATTGTTTCAAACCCGTCTAAGACGTCATTGGCATATTTTGAACTTGCTTGCTAGTCACAATGATTCTAATTGGTGCCACATACCTCTTCAACAATCGCCTTACACACTTCGTAGTCTTGCATGTCCTCGTACAGGCGAGCATCTTCTTCACTTGCTGCAGCCCAATAGTCTCCGAACAATATCGGATCCATCGAAGCATAGTTGACCTCGTCAGGGAATATATTATTCATGTGATTCAGCATGATTTCCTGTAGCACGAAATGCAACAAACTTCTGTGTGAGTAACACTTAGACTTCCTCTTACAACCAAGTTTATTATTGGTAAACATTAGGCAGAAATGCAGTAATCCAAGAAGCGGGAAGGAGGATCGACTGCTCTGGAGCGATCTGTCTTACCCAGGAGCAAATGTAAAATGGATTTATGAGGTCTCCACGCTTTAACAAAAGTTGATCACTAAAGGATGTCACCGCCGTCGGACAAATGAGTTTGCCCATGTGCATCCAAGCAAAGTATACCGGGATGTGAGACGCTAGAAGCCGGGGACACACAACCTCCTTAAACAACGTGTAGAATAGGCATAGTGATGACACATACACAGCAGATGCCGCATGCTAACTCCCAAACAACATGAGGCCCAAGTTCTTGACTAGGAGAACTTTTGGAGAGAAGTCGACGCCAAGCCGAACAATGGCGCTCACATAATACGATGTGCCCCGATAAGATCGGAAAGTACGCTCCAATCCAAAAAAGTGCAGGGAACAGGGGCGTATTTTGTTTAGGTTGTGAAACCGACTGCAATGATATCGGAATCTAAAGTGTTAGTACGTTAGTGTCATTCATCGTGAAAACGAAACATCGGTAATATTTAGTAGGGGATCAACTCAGCGTCATCTCAGAGTAGAAATGCGTTGGGGTGGAACTGACAGTTATACGAAACCGCAGTCACCAAATATACTTTGATTTGGATGGTCTGTACACACATTAGAATAGGCACCAGGTCAAGCATTAACTGTCTTCAAAAACGTTATTAACTGCCGAGTAAGTAATGATCGTTATAAGTTCGTTCTGGGTGCACGCACCTACATACATGCTCTGCTTAGTTAACGTGCAAGTCTGCTTGTGTGCGAATCCACAAAGGTTCTGCAAACTAGGTGCGCTTCCTCTTGGGCGGGTCTCAAGTGCGCTGGACGTCATTCCGACGGAGAACGGGCTGAGAGATGGAATAATTACTGCTGAGGTTGCGTTACTTGGCAAAACTCTTCTAAGCAACGATCGTTTTACTTAGGATGGCTGAGTAATTGGTTACTCACAAAGTGGCCTAAACCTCCAGTTTGTTATCCGTCTAATCCTTCAAGCATGGATTCGCTTCGGTGCTGCGGATACCCCTGACGAGAGGACCCATGTCCAATGGCCGTCGCGCATTCTCTCCCTATATTCAATTTGGAAATGAACCATAGTCTAGTATTTCTGCTGTGGAGAAATTGCTGGCCCTGTCTGACGGCCATGAGCTTCTAGTAGAACGCAGCAACTCCTTTATACTTGAATCCCAATTCCTTTTCTGCAAACAATCGAAGGCTGAATTGCGAAACTAATCGTTGAATTACCGATTCATCACCTTGGTAATTTACACACGAGAATTGGAAAGAGTAACAAACCAGGTCACTTGAATCCCGTTTACCGAAGTGGTACTAATATTTGGCATACCGGTTGGTAAGCGGTTTACTCAGTTCTACTATAATCGCCCTGATTTGGTGGCATCCCCTTCTTTCCACGCAGATACGGGTTGCGAAACTGTCCTTCAGAAACCAGGTTTGCTTATCCAACTCTAACTGTGCTCAAGGTGCAACGAGATGGGGAACTCTCTCAACGGCATATCCATGTGTGGTGTGCTCTGCGAAGTATCTCAAATTGGTGACCTGGAACCCATATTTTCGCCACTAGCCGTGCTCCAGGAAACCAACCTGGCGTATAGTGGGTCTTCCGTAAGTAACAACTAAAAATTCCTCCGAAACGCTAATTGCCTGATACCTAAACTTTTGCAGCAAAACTCAACAACTTTGGCGCATTCAAACTCAGCAACCAATAGGATGTGCACACCTTTCACGCTGTTGCCCGTGATAAGTCGTCTTCATATGTTTTCAGTGCCTGAACCGGTGCAGTTTTCCGGATGCAAGAATGCAACACAATGAGCCGTGCATGTGATCGGATCTCAGCGAAACCGGGTCAGTCCGTGGTTCTTCCCCCGTCATTCTTTCAGATAGACAATTGCCTTCCAACTGTACACTGTCTTGTATATTTTGGTACTAGTGGACGGTCACTAGACACATGTGGTTGGAGGGAAAATGATTCACACACTTATGCTGATCACAGCGCCTGTTAAGTGATTTTGTGCAAATCCGTAGAGGGTAGAACACATGTCTAGATGCTAAGCTGTTGTACCGGGAGTTTGAGGGCACCATATATGGACACAGTTGGGGTATAATCACGTTTCGTTCACAGACAACTCCGTTGTAGAAAGTCACCGGATGTATTCGCGGAAGGCTGATATAAATGCTGGATTTAATTAAAAATTAAGGTGTCTATTGATAAATGGATGAATACGAAGCACTGTTGGTGTCATCAACTGCCATTGACTCAACTGTTAATATGCGATGACAATGGAATTAAAAACCCCGCAGAATAAAAAAAATGCTGAATAGCAGTATTGATAGTAAGCAAAAGTGAGATGTTATCGAACCCGTTACATGCGCAACGTGGATATTATGCTTATACATGTTACCCGCTTTGGATGAGCCTTCGCGAAATGATGACACAATCATGACCCACCCGTGCCGTAACCATGAATAGCTTGATAAGGAAAAGGGTGCCGCAACCGACATCCAACCAACTCAGGCCACCTCTCTATCGAGCATGGCTGATGGATGTCTTACAATCCTTTGTCACAGAAAGCCCGTTGAGTAAATTGATGTTCATTATCTAATAAGAACACGGTATTATCGATATAACCGTGGACGATCGTTGTTGTTTGCATTCCGAGGTGCGCAAAAGTACTGTATATATACGGTGTATCGCATTTCTATTCTCCAACACGTGCTTGTACAAGGTAACGTGCAACCACAATCTTGGTAATAATTTACACTGAAGTCAACCTTGGTGACTGGGACTGCAGACAAAACAACTAAAGGGCTAAAGTTACTGGTTCCTAAAACAGTACTCGGCCAAAAATTTCTTCCTTACGCATACGCTTCCGGTCAACAACCAATGATCTACCGGTTGCGGAAGACCCTCGTCACGGCACAACGTAGCTTCGCACTTGACGCGTGCCACATTGTGGTGGACCAGAAATAGGCACTACTACGCCGAAACTCAGTAGTATAAACATCACACGAAAAACAGACTATGGCGGACTAACACCAGAGGAAGAAGGCTTAGGGCGGCAGCTATATGTGCACCAAGGTTGGATGTAAAAGCAACGTGCGTCACGCAGCCTCCAGAAAGTGTGCAGACTGGTGGAGCTCTCTGTGGCCAAAACTGATGCATTTGTTTGTCGATGTTTGTGGCGAAAGGTAACTTCGTTTGTATATTACGCTTCGGCAACAACAGCAGGAAGCGCACCCTTTGGTTTTGGGGTTTCACTTGTGTGTCCTTGAACTGCAGTGCTTTCCCTCAAGTATAGACACCTTTTAAAGTGTGATTAAAGCATTGAATTCTTCCATTGTTTATGCTTGCCTTTTTCAAAGGTAACATAATAATCCTCAATGTTATGAAATAATTTTAACCAAGTTTACTTCTAAACATGATGCTTTTTCTGTTATCATCCCAGACGGCGGACAAAATGAAAAAGCTGAAAAGGAAAGTGTACCTTAAGTATCTGTTCACTGAATAGTACCAAGCAATATTTTGTCATATTTGTTTCAGTTATATTTCTAGAGCACGTTGTCACGTATAATCAACTAAAATGTGTGAGCTTCAAGCATTTGTCTTTATTAAGGAAAAAACAACAAATGATACCATGAAATGGATCTTGAGATAACTAAATTACTGATAACCTGATTAGAAATATCCCCATATTTTATAAATATTCCGATATATATTGCCCATACTATTGCAGTATGAAACATTTAGGAGTGTAATAACACGCTTTCTTTCTTTTTAAGGTCATTGTCTTCGTTAAAATTTGGTTACGTATATCACAATCATTTAAGTTAATTTTTTCAAGTGGAATCTTAAAATTAATTAAGTGCAAGAGTTTACCACCATGATAGAAGAAGCTGACGGTTTCCTGGAAGGCAACATTTACATTACGACTCCAGATGATGGACAAAATTCTGATGATTTAACATGCTAAATCTCTTGATAATCTGTCAGCGAGTCAGTTATTCAGTGTTACTGAGACTAGCATGGCATTGCTTCATAGACCCGTACTGAGAGGCAACATAGAGGGTGAACAATCCGAAGAAGAACCAGAAACCAGCAATAAAGGTTTAAAAGAGGTTTTAGCCCATATGCTTGTTTTTTCAATAAAATCTCAAAGGAATGCCAGACCTAGACTATGGAGGAAACAAGACTTATGTCTGCGACCCCGGATATAAAGACAATGGTCCGCATGTGCGCCTGATTTCTTAAATGGGGACCTTACACCTTAGAAATCATTTGAACACTTAGTTAATGAACCCGTTCTTGAGCACATGATAGAGTAGAAAACGGAGTACACCCGTATTAAAATTGACCACTCATTCGGTATAACCACGGCTGAAATGCGTGCTCTTCTTGTTATTCTGTTTACCTCTACCTTTAATTTATTACCACGAAGCTACATGTATTGGGATCCTGAAGAAGATGTCCACAACGCAGCCATCAGTCAAACAATGAATCGAAAGTGATTTGACGCAATCATGAAATATCTCCATCTGGCAACAAATGACAACCTGCAAGCAGCTGACAAATTTGCAAAAGTTTAACCACTTTATAGCCAAATGAATAAGATATTCATGAAATTCCTCTTTATGAAAGAAAAACTATGTAGATGAAAGCATAATGATGGACTGAAGCAATGCATTAGAGGAAAGCCTATTAGATTCGCGCATAAACATTGGGTCATTGCAACATCTCTGGGCTATGTTGCTTATCTGTAACTCTACCAAGGAGCTCAGGCCAAATATGACATTAGATTTGGGATATGACATTGTTATGAGCCTAATAGACAAGCGTCCGAAGAGGCTGCCATATCACATCCATTTTTGCATTTTACATAGGCACGCTACTCATGAAGTGTTAAGCAACAAAGGCATAACCGCAACTGGGACAGCTCGAGCAACTAGAAAAGACAAATGTCCAATCGACGTGAAGGCCCTGGGAAAATTAAAGAAGGGTAGTTATAACTACAGATTTGATTGGGAAGATGACATATTCGTGTTTGTCTTGAAATGATAACCCAGTTGTGATTCTGGTCAGCCATTCCGTTGGCGCATATCCTATGACAAAAGTAATCGGCGAAAGGAGCAAAGTTTATGATCGTCGAACAATCTGGTGTCGTTAGCAAGCATAGCGCTTCGATGAATTGACTGGACCAAAAGGTAGGTCCATATCGAATCGATTTTCACAAAAATTTGTGGTGAGCACTAACCGCTTTTCTCCCTGACGCTGCAATGAACGGTGCTTTGTTTTTGTGCAGAAATTCACCTGCATCTCAGCAAGAGCAATTTGACATGCTTTCCATCAAAGGAAGTGGGGTGAAAGTTTACATGCAAGTATATCTAACAAAGATAAACGTCCAACAAAATATTCATACACCCAGCAGCAAACGACAAAATGTTGCAAGAGGAATCAGGAAATCTAGCTCAGTGCACTACTTAGTAGCAAACAAGAAGCCTGTCACTGTGGGAAGAAGGAAAACTTACACTGCCCAGTGTGTGAGGAGACATTATATACAGAGCGTCCTCTGCAGCATACCCCACACGTGAACAATAGAACAAATTTTGTGTGTGTAAATGTAGGCCTCACCTCCTTTTTAATGAGTAACTGCTATATAGTCACTAGAATAACTATTATATGTAAATGTATATATATATATTACAGCTGCATACAATGATGTATTTGCCCCTAAAATGAGTTTTCACGTTTCCTTCCAGATCTTCATGTCATTGTATCATCTGTCGCTGGGGTCCTTAAAAAAGGACAGAGAAAATTCATCACATTTCTTACTATAGTCCAAATGTTCAGAATACCAACCTCAGCTGAGTGGCTTTTCATCATACTCCATAACATATATAAGATTGGAGAAAATGTAGGACCTCAGTAGAAGATGGCTTAGGCTACCAGTCAGTCGGGCGGTTGGATCAAAGAGGCACAGTGTTGTAAACAGGCTATACTTGCCGTTTATATACACACATTCAGTCGTATTTTCTGTTTGCTAGGCATAACACACCGGACTGTTGATACGTGACCGCCACATAACAGTCAAGACCAAATTTGGCGATCTAGTTAATCTATAATCAGCAGTAGCATTTTCGCATAACACCGCCTTTAATCCATGGAGGTGGATGGCAAATGTTGGGCACATTCCGTTCTTTAAGCGCATGAACATTATCTGAAAAACAGATAGCAACAAGACTTGTGCATCGCTACACCTTTCCCGATGGATTCCATACAGAGTGTAGTTGAATTGATCTTCAAGTATCTAACTTGCTTCCGTAACGCAATTGAACTTGGTGCTTAACATGGTTGGATTGCATCGAGTGTTTTTGTGATGCACCATGCGCGCCGTGTACTTGAAACTAACCTAGCCAAATTAGACAATGAGGGTAGATAGTCTGGGGTGATTCTGGAGACACCTGGGCGCTTTAAACTCTATTCAGTAACTAGGGCCTATTCCGAAGCTAGGTGTCCGCAGGCTAGAGGCACAGAGTTATCCAAACTCAGGTGGTGCGACTGGGTTGTGGGTTGTGTGGATGTAAGTGGACTCCCGTGTAACTAAAGGCATGCATTGCACACGACACTAATGGGTGTGGGGGCAGCTAACAAGAAACAAGCGTTGGTAGATAGGCTGCGCAACTTGTGGTCTCAAACCCAGTGCCAAACCTGCCTTAGGATCACTACTTGGGTGTCGCATTTTCATCTTAGCTACCCCCACTGCCACGTGAGTATGGACAACTTTGTGCCTTAGCCTGCGTGCAATTAGCTTCCGACTAGCTGGCTAGCCGAAGGCTGGCTAGCCGGTGCCAGGTGGGTGTTTCGAGTTTAACACCTTACTGCAAATAGTTCGTCGGCAGTGTTCCAGGAGGTGGTGGGTTTTCGCCTGACAAGCGTTCTGCCTATAAAAAGCTACAAAGGTCCTTTTCTCAACACTGTGAAGTGGCGCTAGTGACCAGACACAAACTAAAGTCACTGCTTGTGCATATGCGGATAATTCTATTCAACTCAAGGATATCAATAACCTATTCTGACCTTGCCGACGCTATCAAACAGTCAAGGATGCAGTGGAACAATTACAAGCACAAACTCACAGCTACACATATGCAAGTACACAGATATACATACCCCTACACAAACGTTTACCGGTACGCCAAACATATTGTATTTTTGTACATATTTGGTCACACTTTGTCAACTTAATATGCTCATGCCTGTAAAACTGTCTCGCGTTGGCGAGAAGAAAAGTTTTAGTTGGTTTATTTATCAACCCATACTATCCATACTAGTTATTACATCTACCCTCATTGGCTAATTTGGGCGAGATCAAGTACAAGGAAAGCGCGCACATGGTGCGTCGCAGGCGCTGGATGCAATTCAAATGTGTTAAAGGCCAAGTTCAATTGCCGTACGGATGCGAGTCAAATGCTTAAGGATCATTTTGCCTGCATTACAGTTGCAACAATCGGAAAAGGGTGTAGAAGTGGGAAGTAATTCCCATTAGACTGTCGATTGCCTCATAAACACTAAAATTGCAAAAGTACGGCGGTTGAACTTTAAAGAGCAGGCCAACTTGCTTATGGGATTTAAAAAAGCGGACAAAACCAGCGTGACCCATCAAATAAAACATAGCGTGATGTTCTAGCTGTCGTTACTGAGGTACACTCACGTTTATCGTCGTCACGTCTGTATCATCCACCATTCGGTCGCGAAATACCCGGATGCATTCATGCCTCCAGAGTCGAAGAAACTTTTTGGGTCCCTTGAATCGCTCCGGTGACGCCTGTAGTAATCCTTGTAACAGGCGAGATAGTTCACGTAGGTTGAATGTATAGTGGAACTTCAGCGGTGTTGGTAGCAATTCTGTACGTATGTCCCTAGAATGAACATGAACGAAAATACCGCGCACATTCTGACGGCAAGTAAGCAGGATCTCTTGTTACAAATAAATTTTCTGTGGTGACAACCAGATTGCAAGCAAATGTACGATTTGGTGCCATTTATATAAGAAAACAGTGGGAATTTAGCGTCGTAGGTTATTGTGTGAGGAACTGATGAAGCGTATGCTTAAACAAGGTCAAGCTAAACTGGGTTACGAATGAAGTGGTATGACAATTCATTCCATTTTAAATGTGAGGACGGAAGCGAAAAGGTCAGCATTGAGGATTGTCCAGAAGATGTCAAGCTCAGAGGGGCATTGAGAGGAACAATAAATCCAGAGCCCTTAATGGATCTAGACAACTTGAGTGAAAATGAAGGTCAATCGACACTGGACATACGCCCACCCTCTGCTGCATACCTATGTCCTCTGCCAGTACGAACTGGGCTGGGTTTCCCACAGGAGACATCAAAGTTTCTTCTGTGTGAATACTGACTGGACAACTTGGCCAATCATAGTAACTTACCCTCAACTTTTCCATGTGCTACATTGCACTGGAACCGATCCGGATATGATAGGATGACGGTTTATAGAACACATCTATTACAATGGGCATGAAAGTTTCGTAAGGGTTCTTCGTTGTATGCTAGTCTATAAGGTCAAACTGTCACAACCGAAATTAAGGCGTAACTCAATTTTCCCAATGCTACTCACTAATGCTACGCTTAGTGAGCTGGCGGAGACCCTGGGTGCATGCGAGAGAACAGTTGGTGCTCACCTATGACCCAATACACGCAACGAACTTGCTCGATGAAGCCAATTGGCAAGGTGCTGAAAACACTCGATCACCTGGTAAATGCTAACTAGCGGGTTAGAGACGTGGGGATAGCCACATCGGAAACGGACTATTCCACGCTTCCAGTTTTAGCAGGACGCGTGTGTCACCGTGTAGAAGTGCGTGGGAAAAGGTTCTGATGATGTGCCACATTGTTTAACAATAATAGTTTAATATTACTCAGTGCACTCACTTGTAAACCAGTAGGCTCAAACGTGTAAACTTGTCCGCATACGTTTGTAATTTTCTTGAAAATCCATTTGACAAATGCCCAAACAAGACACTGCCGAAAATCTTGAACTGACTTTCGAAAGATGGCGGTAATGCATGGTACACTGTGAAGAGGGAGACAAATCTGGGGTCCATGTTCTGGCGACCTCCGCCCGCCGGACCGATGGCGGCCAAGTAGGTCATATCTTTCAGACTCCTCCATGACAAATCTAAGCCCTCTTGATACATCCCACCTCTTCCAATGATTACACGCAGCAGAGCGATTGCCTGCTGTGTTCCAAACTCATCTTCCTGTTCAACGGAAGTTGAATTGTAGCGAAGTGTAGTTCAAAAGCTGTATATCGCTTTGCGTAAACCAAAGCATTACCTTATAGCAGTGGTGATTACACCATATTTTACCTTTGTTTTCATTACCTTAATTACCGACCATTTTGTACTATTTGTTTAAATTTACAAATTCTGAATGCGACAAGTTCAAGGCGCTCACCTCGTGCTGGAGTCGAATGCTTGGTTGTACTCACTCCCATACGACTGCCTAGTATCCTGCTGCAAATGGTCTTGTCGAACACTTTCATAGACAATTGAAAGCCGCCATTACAGTTAGTTCGCCTAATGCCCCTTCATCTAAACGCCTTCCACTTATTCCTCTTGGTATTCGAAATACCGTCAAAGAAGATATGGGATGCTGCTCAGCCGAACTTGTCCTGAGCACAGTCCTCAGGCTCCCAGGCGAGACGATACTAAACTCACGGATCACCGGCGAGTTGAATCCTACGTCCGAAGCTGAACACCTGAAGCACCATTTTCAATCCATTAGACCGACACCTAGATTAAGCACGCATGAGCAGCGTATACATCCGGACTTACATAGATGTCCATTCGTCTTTATCCGCATCGAAGCTGTTCGGAGACCCTTGACGCCGCCTTATGAAAGTCCATACAAGGTCTTATCGCGGAAATCGAACTACTTCGTTTTGGATAAGAATGGATTCAAGGAGTCCGTGAGCACTGATTGTCTTAAACCCGCATACGTCGACCCAACATTGGATTGTTCAGAAGCAACCTCAACCACTCACAACCCTCCTGTGCTTGGGCTGCTGCCCACTGACCAATGCTTGACCGATTCCCAAACTTCGGAACGTTTGTGAATTGCAACAAACGATCCTATCCACACACGTTCAGGTCGTGTTGTTTCATTCCACTCCAAACTATCACAATATGCTTCAAGAACGCTATTTCGAGCGTTTTGCTTATCAGAGTTCTGTAGCGGTTGTGATTACACTATATTTTAGTTTCGTTTTTATCACCTCAGTTAGCGACAATTTTATACCATTTGTTTAAATGCACAAATTTTGAATACAATACTTTCAACGCACTAGCGTAAGTGCTGGTTTTATTTGTTGCTGCCTGTACTTGTGCTGCTGCTACGTCTTTCCAGTAGTCGGATTTATATCTTCGAATCGATAGTCAGCATCGGACTAAGGTAACTGAAATAAAAAAAACTATAAAGCTAGTGTGTGCTTGATTGTGCTTCTACTGTGAGTATTTTGCCTAAGATTATCCTTTGCTTCCGCACTCGGACGTAGTAGGTAACGGTCCTCTACAACTTCACTCGATATTTACCTTGGGCATATTCATGTCGTCAATGAATACCACCAATTTCTTCCCTGGTATCGGACCGTACACACCCTTGGCTCGCTTCTCCACATTTGCATTGATCATGCGGCGCGCATCTCTGGCGCTGGTTCTCGATGAGAAGTTCAGCACCAGTCGACTGTTTCGATCCTGGTCCAGCGCGTGCATTAAACTGTCCACCGTGGCCGTCTTGGAAGTGCCAGCCTCACCGATTATGAGCAGCGGATAGCGGAGCTAACGGGCATAGTACAGTGGGGGAAGAGTGGGAATAAGAGTCAGGTTGTTCAGAAAGCCATCTTATGAATTAATAAAGTTACTGAGTCCTCTAGCTAATAGTTTATGGAAGAGTTGACAAAGGACGGTGAGTATCGTTCATTAATAATGAAAATTTTGCAATCAAGCTGCGAAGGTTGATAATCAAAGATCAGGAAGCTCTACTTTGATCAACTCAGACTATGGGTGAAACCCCAGAAATGTGTAGAAATAGCCAAAGGGCGGAAGTGAAGACGCATTCAAAAGCCACATTCATGTTAGTCCAGTTAAACTGGCGAAATAAGTAGCTCCAGCTGCCATACCTAGCAGATAACGGAAGAAATATATTGCAGCACATAACGGAAGGTGGCCAGGCGAAAAGAGTAAGTATGGATCGTGGGATGTAAGAGTTCACAGTCCACATGTAAAAGATCGAGTGCGGAACAACCCCTGACCCATAACTGTGCCACATTGGTACAGTATCCAACCGCTGACTTGGTTGAATCATAGGCCCCATACAGAAGTGCTGACTTAACAGTCAGTTCAAGGACTGGCTATCTAGCGGTTTCACTTAAATTAGCGCAGTGTTGGTAAACAATTGATCCCAAAGGAGCCAGTAAGCAGCAAGTAAATGACAAACAAGTGCACTTCAACAGGAACCAGAAGCTTAGGGGTAGCGGTCACAACTAACATCTTATTGGTCCCGGGTTCGATGCCTGCTAACTCTATCTGATGAGATGTAATAACATCGGAACGCGTCATAGTGGTGCAGTTTTTACGGGCGGGCTACACCCAATTTCTATTTGACCCAGAAGCGTTGTTTCTAAAACTCAGTAAGTAACCTCCTAAACAAGTATGTTTCGTATGCATAATGACAAACACAGTTAAAACATAGTGTCACAACAAAACAAAACGCAGTGTGTTTGGAGGACCGTTTTGAAGTAGGCGTTGTGTGATTGCATTGCGACACGCAATCTCAATGTAGACCACGGTTCCCATTGAAGTGAATCTTGGCCAATGCGTTCACAAGGACCGTAGCTGATGGAGCGGAAGGAATTTGGGTGTTTCCCACCCGAAAACACTGCACAATCACGACGCGTTTCTATCTGAATTGACCTCATCAGGCCTGCTACCTCCACCTGCTGAGATCAAATCAGATCGAAAAGTGTAGTGGTTGTGTTGTGTTTTCTGGCGGGCAACACCCAAAACGCAGTGTGGATTACTCAAACATACCTTTTGAAAAAGTCAATTTTTACCTGCTGACATATCACAAAGGCAACTGAACAGGTTAGTTTAGAATAGGTAAATCGACGGTAGACTGACACTCCTGATTGTGACTTGTGCAATGTAGGTGCCCGTGCATATAGACCAGTGGTTCACAACCTTTTTGAGGCCGTTATCCACAAAGTGGGTTCGCTATAAATAATTGACCCTCAGAACAACTTAGTGTAAAAAACTACTTACCCACTGTATCATTTCCTTATTTACTTTCAATCATTCAAAGTCTATATCTATTTGTGATCAGTTTTTTAATTAATCCAGAGGAGAAAAACATTAAGATGACGACAGATATTGTTTCGTTCTAACAATTTATGGTATATTTGGCGCGGTTCTAGGTAATGCACATCATAAGTCGCGCTCCAAGTGCATTCGATTCCTTGCTTTAGTGTGTGATACCTGACCAAATAGGAACAGGCGTTCACATTTTGCTTTGGACACTCCTTCTGTTTTTGTACATTCATTTAATACATTTCTTCATTCACAGTGGTAGTGCAAAATGCTGGAAGCGTGCTCTTGCTAAAATATTTTCACTGCTCATTGTAAAACATTTTAAGTACTGTCCTCCTCAAAGTAGTCCCCATACTGGCAATACACCGTTCCCAACGGTGTTTCCACTTTTGGTAGGTTTCCTGGAACGCATTTTCTGGGATGGCGCGCAGGGCTCTGGTTTCATGGTCATGAAGCTTCCCATGTAGTAATGAGATGACGTTCTTTCAACACAGCTTGAATTTTGAAAAACTGGTAAAAATTTGTTGGGGCTAGGTCCGGAGAATACGGTGGATTTGGCACAATGTTTGTTCGATGTCCTGCTAGATAGCTGCGAAGAAGGGGTGATGCGTGAGTTGGCGTACTGTCATGATGCACTTCCAAGACTGCCTTTCCCACAGTTCAGCTCTCTTTCTATGCAGAGCATCCATCAAACGTGTTGGGATTCCTTGATAGACTTCCTTGTTTATCGTCTGCCCCGTGGTACAAATTGCTGCTGGATAATGCCATTGCAGCCGAAAACCACTACTAACACCCACTTGCTCTTTGGCTGACTCGGGCATCATTTTTTTAGACGAGGAGGCTTTTTCTCTATTCACGGTGACGACTGCACCTTCGTTTTGATATCATTGTCATAACCCCCATATCTTCGTCTGTGACGATGTTCCTAAGGAAGTAATCCCTGTCACTGACAGTGGCAATCACTTTCTGGCTACCTTAAATATATTCTTCGCAGTTAGACACAGAGAGACAGTCACCACACATCCAGGAAAACGCTAGACGGCCGTTTCGTCCTATTGGGACTCGTCAGCGACATAAGTCGCTGATTCACAAGTGTAAGGTCGTGGGTTCGAAGCCCGCAGGATTCGGCGGGTGCGGGCTACAGTTTCCTGAATATGTGGTGCCTGTGTGCTTGCGTCTAACTGCGACGAATCTACACAAAAACCTAAGAAATCCCTTACTACTTACAACTAACCTTAAATACAGTTCCGTTTCCAACCGCGAATGCGGCGCGAGTTTTGAACTAACACAACGCAACTCAAGTTTAACACTCAAAACTTAATGGCATGATTCTGATCTGATGACCATTCCTTAGCATTCTCTCGAACAGTTAAGCGACGGTTTTCATGATCACAACATGAGGTCCATCGACATGGTCATCGTCTGCTGATGATGAAGGTCGCCCAGGCTTGCAATCGTCACGGACTGACGTCCTGACGTGTTCAAAACTTTTTAACCACTTATAACACTGTGTACGACTCATCTAGTCCACCCCGTTGTTGTGTTGCTACCGAGCACTTTACATGGCTGGCAGGGGTTGGAACAACCAGACGAGCTTTTAAGATGCGTGCAGCAGTCATCGGACATTGGACCATGTGAAGTGGTACGGATGCGATAAATGACGCAACCAAAAGTTTCTTCTAGCTGTTCATTAATTGCATCAGGAATCTCCTAGGCGGTGTTTGGGGCGCATGATTACGGAGGTTTGCATGATCCACGAGTGGTCCCACAGTTAGAGGGTATATGGTTTTGTTACTAAGATAGTTGGGAAAACACTCGCCGAGTTTAGATTAGACAAGGTAAGTTAATTTTATCCACAGTTGCTTCTTCGGTCAGGGTCATGAGGCCCACTTGCCATATAACGATGTGCTTCACTGAAGATGAACTTGCGCGGGCATGCGGAAAGTTCAACCGCTGCTTAAGTCAGTCTCACAATGCCGCTGTAGACTTCGGATTAATCCATCGCTGCCTACGCAGCAAACTATAAAAATAAACTATTTTGCGAGAAGGCAGTGAATATGAAAAGCCGTGCATGGAAATATCAAACTGATGTCAAACGTATGGGAAAGCGAGTGCCACGCTTTGGTGGACCCAAGGGGTAAGCTTAGGACGGTGAAGTGAGTCAGTGATGCTGTGGAGTAGTCCGAAAATTAAACCGGGAGCCAAATAGTATAGTCTCGTCGTTCAAGTGATTCATATGGTTATGCTTGGCTTAACGCTTGATGGGGGTAAAGAGTAATTTACGTATACTTTTTATACGTGACTTCTGTTACCTGCGGTTATTCACTTTGACTGCACTCGATGGAAGGTTTCCGGACTTACTTTTAGGTGTTCCTGAATGATCCAATTCATTTTGACTGTCTCCACAGTGGGCACTAGAATGCGAGTGAACGGTGTGCTGGAATTGTGCACATACACCGGAACCAAGCTCTTCCATGGAATCCAATGATACTTTTCCACACTGAATATGTACTCTGTTAGTAACGGATAGTGGCACGGCAGTGCACCTGACAAAAAGGCCAGAGGGGAAGGAAAAAAACAAACACTAAATAGATGATCCGCTGTTTACTCAGGCGAGCTTTCGCTTCACGTTGCCACCAGTTGTTGGATGGTTGGATAAACTTACTTGGGGGTATAAGTTTAATAAGTTTGAGGAGGGCAACTAAAGCAATCTGTTTCATAAGGGCGAACCTTAGTGTGAGGAACCTGCACTGCGGAAGCAATAAACCGCAGTCTGTGTTGATGTTGAGATAGAGTTATCGAAGTGAACGCTTTTCCGCTGACATGCAAGTGATATGTTAGCCCAATCTGAAGACCAAAGTAACTGTTTCGCACTCGGGTCGAATCCACTCCGGGTCGGACGTCCTCGCGGTGTATTCAGCCTACCCGCAACCGGTGGTAGTCACATGGTAGCGAAGCATCGGTACAGTGTACCGACGTACTGCTGACTTTGCGTTTATGTCTGGCAACTTTTCGAAAACACGCCCAAACAATTCGAATTGTTGACATCAATCTAACGAGATTTATCTTGCAGCAAATCTAAAGTTAAGTGGCCTCACCAAACTCAATGGCTTTGATAGCCTTTGGGCTCAAAATCACGCATATTGTCTTATCCCTTCTGAATGCTTTCAAAGACTTTTGGCTTCATTTGCTAGCACATCGTTGCACATCTAAGTAACAGTGTATTTTGTATCCCTACAACTCACCATCTTCTGCGGTGCGTGATACGTCTGCAAGTTGCTTAGTGTACCGGATGTGGTACGGAGCTAGGAGCGACTGCAGTCAGGTGCTGAGGTGCAACCGGTACGCCGAATTGCTAACTGTCCAATGGCGCAAATTGCTTTGCCGGCAGGGGTGGAGTAAGACACAGACGCTACGTGTGTGCCTACGATCGCAGAGCACATCGAGCCGTTCGGCTGTGTGAAGTGAACATTAGCCAGACAACACAACCGCAATGAATGCGTCATGCCTCGACCGCACGGGAACGCACGCCGTTCAGCCGTGAAATCTGGACGTGAGCAGGACAACACGTAGCCGCACTGAACGTGTCATACTTCGATCGATCGGTAGTCGGCCTTCACACAGATGAAAAGCCAGCGAAAGGGTTTCCGGCGAAGTGGCTAGTGGGGCGCTGTGCTAGCAACTGAGAAAAACAGCCTGGCCGTATGTGATGACCGGTCGATGGGCGCCGTATTGCTATCGCCACAAAAGCTGTTATCGCCTCATGACTGAGTTCCAACAAACCCGTAAGTTTTTATTAGGCTGCTTTCGCTGCTCAAGGCAATCATACTGCCGGGAGCATAAGGTTCCAGTGTTGTTCTCTTTACCATTTCGATCGCGTGTGCATTACAGTTGAAAAGTTACCCTACATAGATGCATAAAACGGTTTTGTAGACTTGAGGTGACAATGCGCTTAGATTTCAGTCTGCCCCGACCCGCTGGTGGCACCATTAGACAGCACACCAATTTAGTCATGAATGCAACTTCTGCGCTCACAGTCAGACAATTGGTAGTGGTACAAATTGATGAGGCCTTCGATGGTGTTTCTCATGTACAGTGGAGAATATACATGTATTCATTTCCTTACTTATATTTAGATGAAATGGGTGAAAAGTTGGTAAATATCAACGAATTAGATTTTTGAAGTGTCCATCGTCGTTTTGGCTACAGAGGAGCATTCGCCGAATGGTGTTGCAAGCACTTTCTGCAATGTCTCCAACAAAATCTGCCTATATTAGTTCCACTGTTCTCTTTCAGTTCAGCCAGGCTGTTTGGTTTCATTCTATTAACTCTGTGTTTCAAGTATCCCCATAGGAAAAAAACCCATGGGATGCAGATCTGGGGATCGTGCAAGCCACTCTGTCGGTTTTTCGTGACCGAATGCCTCGTTCAGGTGGATTTGGACCGATTACGCTGAATATGTAGGAGCGCCATCGTGCTGCCACCAAATGTTATTCATTAACCCTTCCGAATGTAGCTGCGGAATGACGCTGCTCTGCAACATTTCTATGCATGAGGATGCTAAAAAATATCAGATATTGGTACTGTTAAACGACAAGCTACTGGACACACTGTTGGAAAAGAAAAAAAACACCACATTGCCAATGGTTGGTCGTTGCCCAAACATGCTTGGTATCTTCGCCATGCAGACGGAACACCGCCTCATCGGTGAACAAAATGGAATGCATGTCCAAACTGTTTAAAAACAAACGGGCGAATTCCAGGCACTTCTGTAAATCGCATGCGTCCAACCGTTGTACTTCCAATGCACTGTATCGCGCAGGGATCTTTTTCCTTCAATATTCGATGCACAGCATGCGGTGTGGATTTGCAATGTTGTGCGAATTGGCGAATGTTGAGATGGCTGTTGCTGCATACCACTTGCGCAACCGTGCAAGCTGATACTTCATCCGTGACGGTGAGAGACCGTCCGTTCGTTTGATGTTGCAAACATCTGATTCGTTGATATTTACCGACATTTCACACATTTCATTTAAATATAAGTAATCAAATGAATAAATGTATATTCTCCACTGTACACGAAACACCATCGAAGGCCTAGTCAATTTGTACCACTACCAATTGTCTGACTGTGAGCGCAGAAGTTGCATTCATGACTAAATTGGTGTGCTGTCTAATGGTGCCACCAGTGCGTCGGGGCAGACTGAAATCTAAACGCATTGTCACCTCAAGTCAAGAAACCGTTTTATGTACCCATGTACGGTTGTATGTCAGCACCTGAGTGCAGTCGCTCCTAGCTCCCGACCACATTTCCAAAACACCTGATATAAAACCGGACCGATGGACAGAATGGGATGTTAATGTCCTTGTGGGATTACGATTTACCTGGCCGACTTTTCCACCGGTACACTGACAGCCACCGCAAGTTCAACACTCAAGTGACTCTTGCGACCGTCCCGTCAATCTGATCAGTGTGGATAACTAAAACGATGTGTGGTGTACAGAAGCAAGTTAACTACGGGGTTTGACGCTGATACTATGATCACAGGTGAATATTCAGCAAATACGGTACCAAAGGGACCTCGAACAAAGAGCGCATGTGGCTCTGCAAAAGAGTCAAACCTGCTGGCATTGCACCATACCAGATGTATTAGTTTATTTCAAAGTGAGGTGAGGGAGCGCAACAGCTTAACCGGCTCCCTATGGTTCCATGCCGCTTATTCGACCATCCCGGATGACATGCGCATACCCAGCTCAGTTGCATGAGAGCAGAAGCCGAACAGTGGGTGAAGGTCAAGGTTTCTTCGTAGGAAACGAATGTTGGTGAGCGAAGTAGTGTTGCTGCTAAATATGAATGGTGCACAAGTTGCCGCCTCAGAAGCAATAGTAACAAGGCTCCCATCGTCTTTCTCGCTAACCTTTACCAAAAGTCACGAGGGGTTGTTGACAGTCACATGGTACCCGCAAGTATTAAAACGGGACACTATCTGTAACACGCATGTGACCAGGTCATGCCATGCACAACCGTACTCACTCCTTCAACGGCAGTTCTAGTCTCGCGTTAAGCCCGAAATTCTCGTGACTTCAGGCACATGCGCATCGACCACTGCCAACATCACTCGGGATACCACTCTCAGATTTGTCAATTATGACCACTACAAATGCAATAGCGACATAAGCAGTTAAATCAGACAGTGTCTGGTGAAAAACCAAATCGAATAACCCCAACAGATTTCACACCAACAAACACGGGTGAAAAGGTTAGTGCCCAAGCGGTTGTGTACCAACAAGTTTCCCGAGTCCATTGTTATCACAGTGGAAGATAAGCTGTCTGTAGACCATGATCAGTGAAACTCATTACGCAGCCAGTTGAATGTGAATACCTAATACACAATTTTTGCGCGAGTTACTAGTCGCCCGAACTAGATGCACCAACGTGAACCCCGACTGGTTCGGATGGCCTTAGAAACCCGTATCGATGTAGAAAGCATTTCGTCCTCGGCAATATATCTGTAGCATAGATTCTGTGGTGTGAGCATTTTCTTGGTGTTCCTTTGGGTCACTGGGATTCAAAAAGTGGAAGCTCTAAAGAGTATAACGGTAAACTCACCCAAAGCAATTAGCATCCATAATGTATATGAGCTTTTAACCGTTGACAGCAAGTAGAGTGAAAATCACAACTTAAAGCAGTGGCGATTCACTCGTGAAACACTTTCTATAGATAACATTACCGCTCTCTCCACCAAAAGGCTACCTCCCTCCCCAAAATATAAAGGAGGTGTTATACGCATTTTAGAATTTAAGGTTCAGTCCAAGCAACTCATAAGAAAGGTGTTAGAAATTTGGTGTACACCTCGTGAAAGCTTCAGTCTAAAGTCAATCTAAAGGCTGCATGCGCTTGGTAAAACTAGACACAGAAATATCTGAGTAGGCATCTCTACTAGTAAGCAAACTGGGTTCTTTTGCGTGTTAATTTTGCTTTCTCTAAACGAATTCAAGGACAAGATTGTACAAGACATGGTGAAATCTGACTGTACGTTAGACAGCCGTTTCCCATCGAATAACGTGTGACGGCGAAAAGTGCACCGGTTGGCATCCTCTCACGCATAGCTTCATTACTGTCCAACTGACTCCTAAATTCCGAGGAGAGATGAGATTCATTAGGTGGTTAAATAGCATAATGGCAGATGATTCGGAAACGAAGGTATACAACCGAACCAAAACACTTTCTCCCGTGAATCGCAGAACGAGGAAAAACATTGTGGCCGGTCAGTGGGCATCATTGTAACAAGTTAAAAGGTAAGAGGTTGATGAGTGTTCCTTCCTCTTAACCCTAGCTTCTCATTCCTGTCTGGCACTTTTCCTTCCTTTTTCTGTGCTTCCTTTGCTGTCTCACTTACATCGGCCTCTTACTAGGTGGTCGAGCATCCAGCCCTCTACGAGGTATAGATTTTGTGTTGCAGCTCTAAGGGTCTATTACGGTCCGTCGTACTGTTTGGATACGGAAGAGCATGGAACGCCGTACCGGAGGGATATTACAGCAAGACAATACGTAACGCAGCATGGCGAGGTTGCGAAATGTCCCTAATCCCTGATACTTGGTATGTCCACTAACCCAACGCAATCATTGCCCTTAACTTTTCCAGGAAGATAAAGCGACACAGCCACACAAAACATAGTACGAACCATCCAGTGTATAAATTATTGCATAACTATATCAACGGACTTCGAAGGCAGCAGTACTAGTTCACTCCTTTCCACAGAGCTGATAGCCAACCAAGCGGTCATAGAAAAGGCCAACGTTATTCAGCCGCAGTGTACTCCTACATTTTAATAGGTTTTGTCGTCGTGCTGGAACTCCGTTTTTGCTGCCACACAACCAGAACTCAGCCACATCTCTTTTACCGCCGAGCTGCACTGCGTAAGCGAACGTTTCTGTGCCCTTTCAAATGAGTGCTGAAGCACTCTTCTTCCTTGGTGCTCAAGCTCCAGGGATTCATCGTTACAGATACGTTGCTGAGCTACTTGGGACATCACTACACCATGGTAGTCTTGGTCCTATCAACCGCAACCGTGCGCCACGAAGCTGATAATAGTGTAGAGTAGTGGGGCAAAGTCAACGGATGCTGGGGAAGAAGTGGTTGAGATTTACCAGGAATTCCTGATAGCATTTTATAGCTTAGATCCTCAGACCCACCTTACCAAGCTCCACAGTCACGGCACAGGTGATCTGCTCATGAGTTGGATCGTCAGCTTCACCTGCAACGTCAATTGATGATTGGAGTTCGAAGTTCACTTCCAAATCTTTAAAAGTTGAATACTAGAGCCACGTATGTTTTGTATTCATTAATGATTCCGTGAAAATTGTCACGTCAGTTGTTTTGCTGAAAATAGCAGGTTACAATGAAGGATTAGAATGGATTTTGGTCAGTAGCTGTTTCAGTGTGACCTGGAGACCGTTCATTATGGGCAACTTTAAATATGCTCTAATTCAACGTGGCCAGATGAAAAGCATCTCCTGTATGAAATCAGAGTACCTACTCGCAAGGATTAGGTGTACATGTACGGAAGAGCTCTTCAGTTGAACACAACCTTGGCATGGTTGCCTCAAGCAGACAGCTAATAGATCAAAATCTGGTGATCAGCACGTTGGACTCTTCAGAACAGTGTCCGGATACCTAAACTTAGGTCCCGTAAATTCTCAGCGCTTATATTCATTATCGTGTCTGATCTGTGATTCAGGCCTGGTAGCCATGGCGAAAACAAGCTCTTGCTGCTCTGAACCCATCTCAGTGTCCGATTACTAAATAGGTCCTTGAAATTCAACATCTCCCATATGAAGGAAGGAGGAAGTATTTGCATGTGGCCTGGTAATGGTTTACTTGGTCCTGCACCTTCCCCATCGTGTGCGTCGCACTTTGTTGGAGCTCAGTGGCAATAGTACTCTGAGAGGTCACTCACTGAAAACTAAGGGTAAGTGCAGGTATTTGGGATGCTACGGGACTTTATTTTCTGTTCGTGCGTGCCATTTCTGGAATGCATTCTCCGAATCACTCGGCCACCCGATAGCAATGTCGACATACAAAATGTTACCAGACGATATACACTGTGCCACTTAGCTGACGCTTATTTGCGCTGTAAAACAAGACAATGAGCAATATATATCATCGCGTCACATACCTGTGCAAAGAATTGTTCGGTTTCCTCATAGCTTTGCAAGCTTTTCACACTGTTATGTTCATGAAAACTAGCAAATCACCCAACGGGACTGCTAGGTGTGTACGTATTCTCGAGCGCAAAACAGCGGGGCGTTCACTCAAACAGCTGCCCTAAAAATCCGAACGAGCTGAGCCCAAGGTTAACCCAACTTATGCCTAACGCACCGGAAGGATATGCATCAACAGACCAGTGGTGATTTGAAATCAAGACCCATGACCGAACGCGCATTCGGCTAGTGCAGGCTGTACCGTGTGAATTCTTTCACCCGCGTTGGTTCACGTTCTGTGGTTAGAACAAACTTCGATTTTCCGTGTACTTGCCCTGCTCTTTCTTCATTGCTGGGCATTGATCTATTCTCTACACTAGCAGAGTCCGACACAACAGGGGCTTGCAAAGCATGTGCTCCTTCACTTGTAATAAGTCGTCGTTCATTTTTCTACTCAGGTGACTACGACACTATACAAAAATATCTTGTACCGTATGGCGGTATCATATGATATTGCTTTGTATTCACCCTCAGTCCTCGGCAGTACGCCGACACATCGTACCGACGCCCGCTGACATGCAGCACCCAGTAAGGATATTTTGAGGTCAATCGCTCCTACACCGATTCGAGTTGCTTCTCCTTGGACCACAGGCCAGACACCTGAACCATTCGGCCACCGGTCGATTGTCGCGACATAAGTTATTTGTGTACAGCCATTACAATATTTGACTTAGGTATACATGTGAGCAGCATTTACAAGTGATTTCGTGGACACAACTGATTGTCCTTCGAGTGACTCACCGTTGAGTGTAATGTTCGGCCATGTCAAAGGCAAGTGCTATTCCCTCCTTGTTCATTACCATCCGAGTAGCTTATGGTTTCTTCTTTAAATGTGATTCATACCATCCCAATCAACGAGAGTTCATGACCGTAATTTAGGCACATTCCGTAACTGGAGCCTCACTGTATTAATTCGCACATCAGCCCTATGCGCTTTCCTTTTCTCCTCTTCAAAGGTGTACACATTCCGCGCTCGGTGGCTGTATTAACACCGAGCACCGTCCTAGTTCATTGGAAATTACCGCACCAACCATGTAGTAGAGGAACGGCCTTAGGGAAGATTTTGCGTAAAACCCGGAGCTGTACCCATCGCGTACACCAGCCTACTAGCTTCCAACTGTTTTGAAAAGTGTTCTCTGTTTGTTCCAAGGTTGTGAACTACATGAGAAATACGTCAAAGTTACAACTAAAATCCTACTACTCATGAGTAATTGCAAAACAATCTGTAGATTCAGGAAGATTGGCCAATTTGTCTTATGATGAGGAATCCAGGTGATGGGCAATCCAGTCCAGTCACACAAGTACACAATGAACAGAACATGCGAAAAATACTTTCGGAGAGTACGCTTGATGAAGGACCAGCACTAAGGCTGCGACACACTGTGGTCAATGCAAATGAGAGACATGAACCAGAGTTTAGTCCGTAGTCTTACACTCATGCATCATGTGTGTGGACGTCACACGGGACATTTTCAGAGGGCACCGTACTGAGAGCTACCCCATGCGGAATATGCACCAAAGTGCTATCAAACTTCATAACAAGTGCACTTAAGAAGGTAACTTGGCTGCTGAATTTCAGCGATTGAGCAACAAATTGCTGACATAATGGCACAATACGGAAAGCAAACAAATTGTCAATGTACACTAATAGAACCATCCTCCCACTTCAATGACAGTTCATAAACCAGTTGAACGATACATAATCGTGCAAAATGACAGCCATCTAAACGCTTTGTTCAATGGAACATACCACATATGATTGTGTAAATTGAGTGGTTGTTTAATTCGGTTCGAAAAGGGGTTCAAAATAACCACGACACAGAAAGGAAGCTGATTGACACGAAACGCGGCTGGCAAAAGAGAAAACTCAGGCCAGTAAAAGTGGGCTGGCGACCCGAAGCGGCAGACGTTAAGCCCTCTATAGTCTCAGTGCCGGCCTTGGGAGGCCACACGATGCTTAGTGTCCACTGGCAAGCTACTCAAAGCGTACCCGAATTAATAAACGCAAAAATGGAGTTCTAAGTGCCTCCTGTTTTGATCAATGCTACGGCCCTTGATGTCCTTCGGTTCATCAAATCAAGGCGTTTGCAAATCAGTAAGAGTATCTTAGGCCTACAAAGCAAAGTGAATCTTCCAGGTCAATCGGTGCTAGTACTCCGACAAAGGTGATTTAAACTGCGGGTGCCACAGAAACATTCGTGTTATACGACATATAAATCGGTTGGATCAGAATAGAATGAGCCGAAATATGTGTACTATCAAGGTCTTGATAAACGTGCGCTGCAGATTAAAACTGAGGGCATGAGGCAGACTCGTGATTAACTAACTCACCAGCTTTAACCGGCTGCCCATCAGGACCTTCATCAGTTTGTGGTAGCGATGCAATGACTTTAATCAAATTGTCTATGATGCGTTGATCCGGAACGCCCAGTACACCCGCAAAAGTCCAGCACAAAGCGAAAATGAACACGCCCTCCAACACATCAAAACTCTCGAGGGTTAGGTCTTCATAGGATTCTTTACTCGGGAGATTGGAGGGACCAGGTGCAGAGGCGCCCATTGGTGTTGATGGAGGCTGTGATTGCGTCGGTGAACTCAGATCTCCGATTGGAGGTGGCGAAATTGGCTGTTCGGATACGGACATGTGGCCCACCTCAGCGTTGCTCCTTGACGAAGATGAAGAAAGAGCCGTGCATTGAGCATGATAAGCATCTGATAGACATTGGAGCTATCTCACTAAATCATTCATTATCCTGAGTTTTGGCGAGCTTTCCACAATAGGGTACCCAGCACCGGTGACGATGTGTTGATGTAGTAAGTGGTCTAACGACGAACAAAAGACTCATGAACTTGGGACTTCTTTAACTGGCCATCATGGAACCGGTTTCGAACAGCACCTAGCTAATCTCCAAGTGAGCGGCACAAAAGAGTTCTATTAGGGAAGTTAGTGACGCTATTATTGATTTAGCATCCTTCCACCACGCAGCAACGGCTGCTCCTCATTACCTCGGATTGCACAAAAATCGGTTTTCATGGTTGAAGTTGCTAAGGTAACAGTGTTGAGTATAACGAAAACTTGCTGTCGGTTCTTTGCTCTCAGGGAGGGATGCAATTAGCTACCTATCAATAATGTGGCTGCAACTTGGAAAGACCATGTAGACGGAATGCTGATGGAAGTAGCACAAATCAGATATCACTAATGCTTCGGTTAATGTGAGAACCACGTAAGCACGATCGTATGGGGCTGAACTCTTGACAGATGAGTGGCAACCACCTGAAAAACCCAAAAAAACACCACTGATTATGTAAAGGTCGAACAACATCCGGACAACGGAACTTTGATGGCGAGGCTGTGACCAGCGAAATAACATTCGTTGCACACTGCCGTACAGCGAATCCTCTTACCTGGTTTCACGAATCGTTGGTCAGTATTATAATGAGGTTGAATTCTAGCGATTGTTTTTTCACCGGAAGGAAATACAACCAAAACACATGAGCAGCTACATGCTCTGATCAGTGGATAGAGTAAGTTGAGCGATTTAGGCCAAACCCAGAATGGAGCCTTGTGGAAGTTGCTTGCTCCCAGTACTGCACAACGTCGCAATTTCGCACTTTTCATGCACAGGCAACCGCGGGTCGGAATAGGTCCCGAAGCCTCCTAGTTGTCGAAGGACATCTTGAATACCGGGAAACCAAACTTTGTCGCTAAAGCATGCAGCAGCGGATAAAAGTTGAATACAATGTTCACTTCCAGGCTCGAATCTTGTCCTGGCATTCTCGTCCAAGAGATTAAGCACGGAATTTAAGCAACTTGTTCTACGGCTTACAACGTGACAAATAGAAGAAACAACCTGCAAGTGAAGCTATACTTCACAAGCTCATTGTATTCTTTCACCAAAAAGATAGTCGATGTAGACAGGCTAAATCAAGGTCACTACACACCCGATTGTGTGTTAGACAGACACTCTCTTTTACCGGAACTCGTTAGCAATGCTCATTCTCATCATTTGTTATGGGACTGAAACAGGTGACCTTATCACATTCGCTACTCATCTACCCAAATTAATGTGCTGTGAAGGTAAAGATCCTTAGTTCGAATACAACAGGAGTTGGAGACAAAGCACCTTACTGAGAAGCATTAACTGGATGGAGATATGAACCACATGCTTTCCGGATCTACAGTGACCATGGTTAAGAGTAACTGTGAAAAATACAGTCCAACCCGCTATGGCGATCAACTGTCTATGGCGACCAGCCAGAAGTATTCCCAACCTTTTCTCCTATGAGCAATGTCTTTATGTATGAACCTGTCCATGGCGACTCCCTGTCCAAGGCAACCACTTTTGTTGGTCCCTTGAGTGGTCGCCTTCGACAGGTTTGGCTGTATTTGAAAACTCGAACAAGGCCTCACCAGCTTCATTCTTTTCAGGTAATTTCATGATGATCGATTGAGAGCTGCGAAAATGCTCCAAAGGAAAAATAGCAAAATTAGCAAACGATAAAGAAGTACACAGATGACAGTCGAGTTACCTGTAAACCTGTCAAGCTTGAAATTCGCCGAGCAAAGCTGGAGTAAAGACGATTAGAGAGACATTAAACAGGCCAATAATACTGCGGACAGTACCACTGATAAGGCAACTGTCAGTATTTCGCGGGGGTGAGATTTGGTCTCCTCGCCAAATCGCTAGTGGAATGGGCAATTTGGCAGCTAAATGGATTCCTGTCTGAGCCACTTAAATGGTTCTATCGAAAGGTTAATTGTCACACCGTGCACTCCTAAGGTGATGCCCAACGTCGGCATCTGCCGTTGTTCGGAGTTGACATCCTCTAAATCAGAGTCTATAACTTTCCTTGGTAAAGGCATATCCAATTCGGATGAGTTGGCTTGCCGAGCAAACTTCCTGTGGTGCCGGCTGGGTGGCCCGAACCTTTTCTATTCTAGAGCGTGCTTCGGTTTCATTGCTCCAGGATGTGGTTGATTGTCACTTTTTGTACTCACCGCTGAAGCTTGTCTAGTTTGGCCACTGGGAAACGAGTCAGGCATCGGATTTGACCTTTGATATCGGGTGTGTTGTGTACCTAGGAGGGAGTATCGCCATTCGAGTTTTATAAACTAAATGTTCACTCGGTGGTTTCTAACGGATGTGAACCATATACCTCGTCATACTAGCTTGCTGGTTAGGCCCTTTGGCCAAAGACTTGATTACTCAACGGTGAACCACCCTGTACTCGCCGATGAGTTTTTCCCTTTAAGATTCGTGACCTCTGTTTTCTTTAAGGGGAAGGTCTAAGCTGAAATAGTCAAAAATTGTGTGCTTTTCAAAGCTCGATATATATATGTCTAGATATAGTCAGATCTCCATGAAATTTTGCAGGGAATATCATTATCTATAGTGCAAATAATATATGATAGAGAAATAAAGATACGTGTGTTTATTATTTTTGTTTTCACAGTTTAGTGAGGTACCTAAATGAGTGATGCCGAATTGGTTGTTGTGGCATTCTGAGTCCCATCAAAAAAGTATTCTATGTATGGAGCTAGAATTTTGTGCAGTTATTTAGATCTAGTTCAGCTTTAGAATAAATTATACTCAACTCTGTAACTGAATTAGATTTTCCACTACTGATGTACAGATTTGCATAAAAATCTGAACTGAGGTTAAAAGTTGACCACAAGTAAGACACTTAAAATTGGTGCATTTCATGCAGCAACTAAAGAAGAGCAATTCCTCTAAATTTTATTGACTTTGGACCATTAGTTTTGAAATTATCCTCAGAACGCTGACGTAAGAGCGAAAAAACGCAGTTTTGAGAAAAATGGCTTTAAATTGAATTACATGAAAAAACGAAGGTCATTTAAAGTTTTCTGACATATCGGTAATTTATACAAATGTTGGTGATGTCCCATGATATGAGTTACGTAGAAAAACTAAACTGGACTACTCATGGGTACCAGCAAGATAGAAATCTTCGATGTCTTCACACTACCTTGAAGCCGCTACTTTCCGTGCTCGTCGTTCAGCTGGCAGAAGTCCGGCAGCTGCTGCATGAATTCTAGTTCTGTCTAGTTCATTACAACACAGTCTGGTATACAATCCAGTTGACATCCCCAACTTCTCAAATATAGGCAGCCTACCCCTCTCTCCATCATTGAAAACTACTGCAGCATCAGCAACTGCAAGAGTCAGCCTTTGCCTTCCAACAAAACCAGTCTTTGGACACCTTGGCCAAATTAAATTGCGAAAACTTTCATTTGTATTTTGTGTTCCTCCATGGGCACACTTTGACAGTAATGTCTCACTGGCAAGAAGTTCAAAAACAGGCGTGATAGCCTTGCACACATAAGGAGAGAGAGCATTCCTGTCAGAGTCTCCAGCTGGCTGCTTCTTGGAAGGACACCAGTCTCCACAGTTAGTGGTATCACGGTTGCGGTGCTCCCATATGGCCCATATATCTTTTGCATCTAAGGCACATTATTAGTATTTCTGCTTATTGCAGCCTCATAATGTCATGTAATGTTTAACATTGTCTTCTTTGTCAGACAACCTCGCCCACCGATTCCTTGCACATACTTGCCATTATGTACAAAGGTCACCTTTTTCAACTCAGTTAACTTATTGGTCAGGCATCGCCCCATTCTGTTCTGCACGTGCCCACAACACTCAAGTTTGCAAATGTTCCCATCATTATACACAGGTGATCCTGCATTTGATACTGACGCATAAGATTTACTGACTTCATAAGTCTTCTCACATTTTGCAGAGGACATAAATGATACTTCATGCTGACACTGACAGTGGAAAGTGAACTTCGAGGCTAGTGAGCTTCTGATTTCATTCACATAGGATTCATTCTTGCCCAGAGGCTGTCTACACTGAGGGCACAACAAACCGTTTACAAAGTTAACAAGAAGTTTAACATCAATAAATCGAAAGCCTGTTAGCCCCTCATTTGTATCAAACTCAAACTGTGAATTTGGAGATCCACGTTTGGTGCTAGAAGCAGATGTCGAAGATTTATTTACCTCAAATTTATCTTGTGTTTCTGGGACAATATCATTATTACCAGATAGGCCATGCAAAGGCGAATCGAATGCAACTTGAATGAAGTTTCTAGGACGTCTGCAATCCGAGACGCAACATTTTAATATTTACGCATTTATAATGAGCATTAATACATGGAAAAACAAGTCATGCATGCTTCACAAAATGCTGAAATACTGCATTACAAAAGATGCTAACAGAAATATGGTTCGCAGATTTATATTCTAGGATGACTGCAGTTGACTATTGTATGGTTTTCCGAAATGGTCAGAAATTACGATTTTTCAGATTTTTCAGCTTAGACCCTCCCCTTAACTGATTTTTCGGTCTTCAACAACGAGGACCTGTCGCTCGAATGTGACCACCTTAAGGACGACATCAAATATTGCTTTGAAAAATGTGTTGCCCCGTTGAAACGATCTATCTAACAGCAGATAGATTTTCCTCACCACTACTAAAGCGACTTCGAAGAATGAAAGAATGGGACTACGAGTGCAAGAATGTTATCCGTGTCAAAAGCCTAACCACGGCAATTAAATCCGAGATAAAAAGACTAAACCAATTATAGATCGAAGTAGTTCTAGACAACCATAACTGTCGCGATTTATGGGAGCTTCTGAGGC